TGCCATCTCAGCTGGGTGCTTTTCTGTGCACGCCTTGTCATTGTTAGGGGGGGGAGAGTTCATGTTGTGTTTTCTGCAGCTCGTCCCGCTGTGTCATCCTGAGCAGACAATGCAGAGCTGACGTTTTGGGGTCAGTGTGCAAATTTCCAGAGAAAAGAAGTCTCAAAAGTAGATTTCCAAGGAACAAAGTGTGCTCGCCCGGGTCTGCCTGCTGCTAAAATATTAATACCACATAAAAGCAGATCCCTGATGATCTGCCGCTGTGCAGCTACATTCCCAACACGCCTCCTGGAAAGTTAGCGTAAAGAGGAGAATAAGAAGATGAACTTAAACCACTTTGGGTCAGTGCTGTTGGTTGAACAGCTACTTATACCAGCCCTAGACCACCAAGCTCATTGAATACGTTTTGTTATAACAGCATTGGAAACCTTACCTCAACAAAATCAGACCTGATCTAAAATGATAGAGACGTGTGTATGTGTGTTGCAGACTGGAATCTGATTATTGGAGAATTATTTCAGGATTAATCGGTGTGTAAAAACACACCAATCAGCAATGACACTATGAGCAGATATAGGGGAATATCATTGATTATCTCTTTACAGAGTCAATCCAAAACTTCATCTCTTGAGGGGATGTCCCCAATCTGCAGTTGTTGGCACCAACCAAAAGTGGTCTGAGACAGGACAACAAATGGACCTGCAATAGGGTCATGGATGGGGAGTAAAAAGTTGGTCTTATCCAACTAAGGAACTGCAAGGACTTAGTCTTTAATGCCTGAAACCACAAATTATGGCCAGAAAATTCAAATTTTTTTGGAGCTGAAATGTTTATTTCATTTACCAAGAAAAATCAAAATGTCCTTAAGATTCAACAAATATATTTATTTAACTTCTTTGATACATTCAGTGTTTTTGGAAACTGATAAACCCACAAGAGGACATTTTTATTATTTATGGGACTATATTTAGGTGTATTTCAGTAATTAGTTCATCATATTGATTTGATAGAAGTATCATAAAAGTACGTATCAAATATGATACAAAAGGCATGGGTGTATATATGTATATATAAGGTCTTGGTCTCAGTATTAATGATTTGTTACATATTCATGTTAGACTCTGGAGCTTTGGTTACTTAGCGACTTAAGAAATCCTAAAATTCTAGAGACATGTAAAAGGTCAACGAATATCAATCAATCAATCAATCAAATTTTATTTATACAGCGCCAGTTCACAACAGTCGTCATCTCAAGACGCTTTTCAAAGAACAAGAGCAGGTCTAGACCACGCTCATTGTTTGATGATCAAGAACCAACCTAAGATGGGTTTTGGCCCATCTCATCTAACATGAGTAGCAGTGGCGAGAAAAAACTTTCCTTTAACAGGCAGAAACCTTGGGCAGGACCCGACTCATGCCAGACAGCCACCATGCCGCTGCTGGAATGATATGAAGGAATGAGGGTAGGTACAAATAAGCTAAATAGCTTCTACCTACTCCTTTTTGATCTCCAAAAAATAAGGAATTTCTTGTCTAAATTTGTACTTGTGTAAACGAGTACACTGGTTTTGGTAGAAAGATGGAAGGTGATAGTTTAGAGAAATACCACAACTACTTTAAGGTGTTCACTTAGCCTCCAGATACTCCATATTGTCATCCGATTCAGCATCTGTGGGATATTTGGGACAACCAGATCTGATCCGTTGAAGCCCCATCTCATAACTTCCAGGACAAACAAGGCTGACACAGGTGAGGGCTGTTTCCAGAATGAAGTAGTACAGATTAATAGTTCAAACCTGAGGCTGTCAGAGCTAAAACAGTAACTTTTGTGGTTCAGTTTGTTTTATTTTTTCACAGGAGAAAGAGTCGCAGCTGTTACAGCCTGCTTCTCTGCTGCAGGCTGACACTATCTCCCAGTGCAACTCCATAACTTTCTGAAACTTTTTGTCCTCATTAATCCGTAAAATATGGTTCAGGTTTAAATATATCAGCCTCCCCTTTAAAATATAAGCTTAACTTGCTCCTCATTATAAACTGCAGATATCTGGATTCTGGTTTTAAAGTGTTTTGAAACTGGGAATTTCTTTTTTTTTTTCCTGGAGGTTAAATAAAGCTGCTTTAAAGAGCGAGTGTTCTTGCTGATATGCGGCGCACACTGCCAAACTTCTCTACATTAAAACTTATGATGGTACACCAATATTTGGAGCTGGTTTCACAGATGCTCCCACCTGAGACTTCTCAGAGTCAGACTCTTTTTAACAACACAACCTTTTACTTCCACTAGTCTAATCCATATCTGCCAGGCCCTGTTTTCAAATTTTAGAGCCTGCCCTTTCTTCATCTCCAGCTCTGACATTTTGTGACCGCCTTTATGACTTAATGTGGTTTTTACAACCACACAGATGTCTTTGTGGAGAGGACATCAGGGACAGGATGAAATACTCACTGTGAGGTGAGGATTATGAGGTGGAGTCACCACCTGAGGTCAGGGCTCCATCTTCACACCTCTGCAGCGCCTGAGGCTCCGAACTCATCTTCACCCTCACTGCCTCCTGCGGGAAGAGAACAATGAATCACTGTCCATGCACCTGTATGAAGACTACAAACTATATTAACACTGTGATCACATTAACTTTTTAGGCTTTGCATGATTTTCTGTCTGAGTATGATGAAGTTAAAGGTTAATGACTCTCCACATCGATCCCAGCATAACTCCTCACTCCAGCTTTTGGCACATTAGACCTGCAGAGCCTTCAGCCACAGAAGGAGGTAACAAACCTTAACACAGATGGAGTATGAGCGGACAGCAGAGGTTTGGTGAATCTTGACAAATATAATGTGTGCACACAGAATTCACTGCATAGTGATCATTTGGAAAGTTGTATGAAAGATCCAAGATATTTATAAAAAAAACTTTCCTTGCACTTTTGTGTATACTTCAGTTGTTTCCTTGCTTTGCAACTCTAAGATTGTGAAGGCGCAAAAGCCTTTGCATTGTTTCTGCAGCCCACTTACTGCCAGCTTCTACTCTGTGATTTGAATCAGTTCCAATAGTGTCAGAACAACAGGTGTGATTTGCAGAGACATGCATGCAAAAACCACTCCTACTCATCAAGCGATCCTGCTTCCTCCACACTTACGCTGTTTTGCTCGGTTTCGCAGAGTCATGGTGTCAAAGGTCAGAGACAGGTGACCGGCAGCTTACATTTGCATAAACAAACGCAAATGTGTCCCAGCACCTGAGGACTACAGAAAGCAGTGGCTGCTTTTTATTTTGAACAGCAATGTGTCGGCTACAGTAAGTGCTGATTTAAAGGGATATTCCGGTGTAAATTTAAATTAGGGTCAAACACACCGTAACACTGAGTTAGACACCTTCTCGAAAGATGAATGTTGGCGACTGCTTGCTTCTCTAGGTATGAGAACTTTAGTAACGACCGCACAATAGCAATACACGGCGGTCTGAGGAGCCATAAACAAACCTCAACCAAGACGCCACTCTATAGCCACAAATAATGCTCAGAATAGCACCTAACTTCATCAACAGTACATATAGGGTCCTATCCATAGCACTAGCCACCAAACATCTTTTTAGCTTTGCTAATTTTTTAGCAAAGAGACTAAACACAACTCACCTACTCTCTTCCAGCAGCCGCTTGTTTGTGGCAAGATCTCAGACTAGTCTATCACTGACTGCAGCGGGGTGACGCAGCTCAAGGAAGAACATTTATGATAATTTCTTAATGGAAATGCAATCAGACTGAGACGTCAAGCAGAAGAACTACAGCATCTGCAGTGCAAAATGATTACCGTATTTTTGCACTATAAGGCGCACCTGATTATAAGGCACACCATCAATGAACGCGTCTATTCTCGTCCATTTTCATACATAAGGCGCACCGGATTATAAAGCAAATTAAGCAAAACAAAACAGTCAGATAAGACACACTTTATTTAGCTCATTCAATAAATCTACAAGGCTACGGTAGCTGCAGTGCTCAAACAAGCCAAAATAATTTTAAGTGCGCCTTAGGTGTGAAAAATACGGTAATATGATGATTATTACTTCAAGGAAATGATAAAGTAATGATCATAAAATATCCCTTTAATTGTGCAGACCATTTCATCTCAGACTGCTTCAACAACAATGGCTGATCACATCAAGTCAGCTGTTACTACCAAGACTGCAACACTTTACATGAACAGGGTGGTGTTAGTGTCGTAAGACCAACTGCAAACATGGATGAGTCTGCTGTTGGCAGGTTGCCACATTTTCCAAATTCAGAGCAAACAGTGATAAACACAGAATACAAGTGAACTCAACACGGCTCTGTTTGCAAAATGACACAAAAACTGGCAGACAAGACAAATATCGACACCGAGGGTCAAAGCCCAAGTCAAGAATCGCTGTCCCATAGAGCTGCTGGATTAGCACTCGATAAACAGAGGCTGTGTCTCTCGGGTGGGCCGGGTTTGATTCAAGCTCGCAGCTTCCTTCCTGCATGTCACTCTCTAGTCTATCTGCTCATTTCCTGCTCTATCCACTGCTTGATCTTCTAAAATAAAGGCAAAAGAAGAAAGAAAAAGAAAAAGAATCACTCTACCATCATTAATATATATCTAATGATTCCTTTACACAGATCTTTCTTATTCTGATTAATTCCCATAGCCTGCTTAAAATTTTATGCAGCCCTGATGGTAGCGAACAAAGTCTTGAGGAAATAACAGAAATCAATATGTGATTCAAAGCTATAAGCACATGTAATTTTACATCAAATCAGTACCGGGTGTTGGTCTATTTTCGCCTCTGCTGTAGTATGACGATGGCAAAGAAGAGTCAACGTTGATGTTTTTACTCTACAATCTAAATTTGGTCTCGGTGTATATCCGTTGGCTTCAGCACCACTTGTTCTGACAGTTAGGCCTACATTGTCCCCATTTCTGAGGCTTTAAAAAAAGTGGTAAAAGTTGCTTAGCTCATCATGAGGATAAAGTCAAACATGGAGGATCGTGCAAAGATTTCTAGAATGTCTGCCAAAATCTGCCCTGCCTGCTGTCGTCCCACAGATGGTATCCCAGCATACGGTCCTGCACCACCAGGCTCAGCGACAGCTCCGTCCTGCAGTATGCAGGACTGTTGTACTCTTCAGCTGCCTGCTCCCTACAAGACCCCAACACGTGGATGTAATTTGCATTGGATTCATATTCGTTCCTGCCAATTACAAGGATATCCACAAATTGCTTGTTACCGGATAATGATTGAAGTCATTGTGATAGCAATCAAAAAACACAGGCGGTGAAGTGATGCCCCCTCAGAGTTTCAAATGAGGGTTTTCAAAAGTAAATGATTTTAGCTATCTTGGTTTAAAGTAGCTAAAAAATTACTAAGCAAAAATGCAGAATAAATGTCAAGCTTTGTCAGATCTGTCCTTGTGAGCAAAAGAAAACAACTTTCGATTAATTTATGTTCCCTTCATGTTGCCTGAGTAATTTTGAAAATATGCAAACAATGCAAAGTATGTATCTTTTTTTTAACCTACAAAGATTTGTATTGCACTCGAATCTTTGAAAAAAAAAAACTGTCCTGCTCTTGACTTTGTAGTTTTTTCCATTTTGCAAAAAGTTCAATCCACTTCTGGTCTGAACACACCTCTAGGCTCTGACAACGGATTGAGGGTCTTGAGAGCAGAATGCATGCTGGGATACAAACCTTGACAGCAGGAGAAACAGCTCTAAGATTTCCTCACACACATCAGCAGCTCTCCATCGGTCACAGTGAAGAGAGTCGTGGTCATTAGCAGATACAAGCTTCTTAGTTCCCACCGCTTCAAACCATGTGCGGCTGCATGGATTATGATTCCTGATCATATTATACTCAGTCAGCTCTCTAATTACTGTGCAGAGCACAGGGGCCATGTTCATCGTCACCACACATTCATACTGACTCAATACAATTAAAGAGTGACTGAGACACTTACTCAGCTTTCATTTCAAACCTCCTTAATGCTGACAATCAGAATTAAGTCTTTTGTGCAGAGCTGTGAAACTGCTGCTGTTGCCACAGGACTGCAGGGACACTCATGTCTGATTCTCTGCTCCACTTTTCAGTCTCCACCTCCCATCCTTCTCTGCGAAGCCTTTTTTATTCACTCCCTCACGCTTCTGCCCCTATTACTGTCATATTTCCCTTCCTTTTTTTTTTTTATTCCGATGCTTTCTCATTGCTCTACAAGAATGCTGGTACTGCAAAAATCAAACCCCAGGTACATGGTCTTAAACAGCTGATCTTCTCTGTATTTGAATGATAATTTGATTTCTGACTGGTCTAAAGCTGAGAAATCACTCAGAAAACAACCATAACTGAGCACAGTTTCTTAGGCATGGCAAAACAAAGGATCACAGCGTTTGTAGGTAAACAATATTGTGTCTGTAACAGAAGTGTTTCTCGTCAAAAAGGACCTGCTGCATGTTGTAGCGCCGCTAAACTGTTTACCTGGGGTTCTGGACTATGTCACTTTATCCTAGTTGTTGAAGTCCTGCAAACATTGTGTTTGCTGGTAGTCTGTTGGCATCTACAGTAGCAACAATGCTTTTAACTTTCACGTTGACTGGGTATTTATCTGCATTATATCTGAACTTAATTAGAACGATACAGGCGAGCAAGAGCGTCTGTTTGTGGGCGGGGCTTGCTGGAGCAGAGAGGGAGGGGAGAGGAGGAGCTGAGGGGAAAACTGGTTGGGAGGGGTAGAGTTTACATTCAAGATTTCTCCCAAGAACTGGCACTTCCTCAGATCCTGCCCACCCCACCTTTAACCATTGCAAGCTTCTTGGCTTCCTGGTACTTTAACTGCAGTAGCACTTTCTTTTCAACACCACCTCCCCTAAATTCAGTATCATTTTTTTTTTTACTCAAAGTGTCTGATTTTTAAAATCTAATATCATGAACACAGTAATATATGATTTATTTCAGCTTTCCCAAACTCCTTGATTGTCATCTGTGCCGAACGCTTCTTTGAATGGATCGTGCAGATCTAAGCGGAAAGCATCAAGAAGGACACCATTAAGCATAAAGGCAAATGATATTGATGGCTTGAACTTGTTAGGACCAGTTCTCATCTGAAACTAGTTTTGGATTTTTGTTCCCATTCAAAAGTGGCTGTTGTAGCTTCAGAGACAGACATGCACCCACCACCTTGCTTCATAAAACCACCCTGCTAAGATATGAGGTGCTAAATCATCCGTTAGAAACGTTACTCTGAGGTGTCTTATCCTGCTGAATTAGTGTCTCTCTCAGGCAGCTGAAACCAGTCCTAAAACAAACTCCATTTTGTCCGGGTGAGGATTCACTTCCTCTCTGACTGGAGCTCATGTGGGTTCCTCATCAAAGTGATGTGTCCATCCTGTGAGACAGCTGAGAAAAAGAGCCAGCAGCTGCTCTGCACAGAAGCCATAGAGTTCATCACCTGTGTACCACCCTGCCAACTCACCACTGACTCACCATGGAGACTTTCCTCCCGTTAGACTCTCCGTCCATCACGGCAGCAGAGTATAATGACCCGCCGAGGCATGCTGAGAACTGTGACACTACCAAAGCAAATGAGATGAGGGTCAACGACTGATGAACAGAGCCGGCGAACATTTTTATCACCACGAGGAGTCACACCAGCGGATATCACGACAAACTAATGAGGCTGCTGAGAGTTCTCAGACAAAAGCTTGAGCGGTTTAAAGGACCGCTGTTTGACAGAGAGGGAATCCACTGACAAATATAAAACACTCTGTTCAGAAGATTTTGTGAGTGTTTAATCACCTGAAAATATTTTGTTTCATCTGGATTTCATCTGGAAGGTTGCAGGATAGGCAGAGATAAGATAAGATGTAAGATGAGAGACTTATTAAAGGGATATTCTGGTGTAAAATGAGAGATGAACGTTGCCGACCGCTTGCTTCTCTAGTTAGACCAACTTAAGTAACGACCGCATGATAGCAATACACAGCGGTCTCAGGAGCCATAAACAAACCTCAACCAAAACGCCACTCTATAGCCACAAATAATGCTCCGAACAGCACCTAACTTCATCAACAGTACATATAGGGTCCTATCCACAGCACTAGCCACCAAACATCCTTTTAGCTTTGCCTAATTTCTTTAGCAAAGAGACTAAACACAACTCACCTACTCTCTTCCAGCAGCAGCTTGTTTGTAGCAAGACCTCAGGACAGTCCATTACAGACTACAGCGGAGTGACGTAGCTCAAGGAAGAACATTTATGATCAATTCTTTATAATTTCCTTGAAGTAATAATCACAATATTAATCATTTTGCACTGCAGACGCGGTAGTTCTTCTGTCTTAGCATTTCAGTCTGATTGCATTTCCATGAAGAAATGATTGTGTTCATGACCCTAAATTAATTTTACCCTGGAATATCCCTTTAAATATGTTGATGAAAAGAGGTGAAGAGACTGTTTTGTCCACAGGGAGGGGCGCCAAAACATCTCAAACCAAAAGTTCCTCACAGAAGCTTTAAATCAGTGCAATTTATCACCTTTTGTTGCCGACTAACATTGACAAACCAGAGTTTTGTCTCTATGTTAAACTACATAATCGAGAAAACTTACAATCACTGTGCAGAAAGTTATCTCAAACAAAACAAATACAAAAAAAAGATCAGTTTTCATTTAGTTGCTTCCATAACAAATGCACTCTTTGACAACAGCTACATCTTTATCACAGTGCTCATGGGAAATGCAGTCCACTAGAATCAACACCACATGACTGTACCTTTAACTGTACATCCTCTCTTACATGCATGATATGTCTTCTTGACTTGTCTGTTATGTTGTTGCGCTTTTTGTTTTTTATGCTGGTTGAATGTCATGCTTTGTTGTGTACTTATGAAGATTTTGTATGTTTTATTTTTTGTATGTTTGTCGCATGTGGACCCCAGGAGGAGCAGCTGCTGCATTAGTGGCAGCTAATGCGGATCTGCATACAGGAATGAATAATTGTTGTCTATAGGAGAAGATGAGACCATCTGCAATGAGATTGTTTATCTGTGCATACGTACATAACAGCCTGGTATGAGGTGCACCTCTTCCAAATCCTAAAGGCGTGTCAAAACAATGCAGATGGCAAGCCTTTAAATGTGTAGAGCTTCGTTTTACCCACAGGATTTTGATGCCAGTCTGGTTTGACTTATGTTGCAGTAAAGGCGATAAAGGTTGACATAATTTTTTTGCATCTCTTTTGGAGCATCATGCTTTAAAAAATCCATTTATCTCCCATTAGCAGCTAAAGGTTATTCTAGTATTTCATACAGATTATTCATATGCATTGACCTTCATTGTGACAGAGAGATAGGGACCATTTCTATTAGTATCTGTCTGACTTTGTGCGCAGAGCTGTTGGATGGTGTTGCAGCAGCAGCTCTACATTTCACACTCTTTCCCTGCTTGCACCATTATACATGTGTCACAGCTTGTGTGGGCAGGAAGTCTCACACCGTCCTGAGCTAGCCTCGATCTGGTTTGCACCAACAATAAAATATGACGTAGGTCTGCTGGAACTTCATACTACAGGGACTCGGTGTGACAGAAAAACTTGCTAACATAGGCACTTGTGTACAAACAGTAGAGTTCAGGAAAAAAATGTCTTGGTTCCATAAATACCTCGGCGATTTTGCCTCTGAAGTTGTTTCTTTATTAAAACGTGCCATTTCACCCCCAGCTCTCCGCTCGGTGACCCACTTGGGAGCTCAGAGCGGCTGCCGGCCTCAGCTGGCTGCACACAGCTGACACTGCACTCACACCCCAGCACATATTGTGTGAGCCGTTTCAAAAGAGGAAGAAGCCCAGCGGTGTGGTGTGATGCTCTCCGTAATTACGTGCAAACATTTCCGAGCTGTGAGATGGAGTGATAGAGCTGCTGATACCTCCAAAGTCTCGGCTCTGATGTGCATGAGAGTGCAGGTGCAGAGCAGCAGAATAAGAACAGCTTTTCTCGAGTCTTGAGTCGGATAAATGTTTTGAAATGTTTGTTCTTTAAAGCAGGGGTGGGAATTATAAATCCCTTTTCCTGATTTATTCACACTGAGTGCAAAGATTTGTTACTGCGAGCTTAAAATGAGAGGGTACAGAGGTCTGGTGTGCAGGGTCTGATTTTTGAGCAGGAAACCAAAGTGGTCGTCCTGTAAATAGACTGAAATATAAGAATTTCTGGAAACACTTTATTTGACGCCTATCTCTATAACACATTATAAATATATAATGTGTTATAATCAGGTTAAAGCACTGT